AATCCTTCTGTAAAATGACTTTCCATTTGCAATTTGTATCTGCAACAAGAAATTAAGTTGTGCCTGTACCTATAAATATAAAAAAAGTAAAGGATCAGCCTGGATAATTCTTCATCCAATTAGAAAGTGTGCAATATCCCGTAGGGTTCCTATAGGGAGGAAACTGCATTTCCATGTCCCATTCTAACACTCCCCTTGAACTGTTGCTAGTGGCTGATCTGAAAAGAATATAAAGAAGTAACAGCATCTATAACTGGTCACATTCATTTCATAAAGCAATCCTCAAATGAAAGAAGGATAATACATATAGAATAATCCTTCTCCTGGAGGAGGAGAAGAAAAGGGAGAAAGTATAGCAGGCATTTCATTAACATACATTAACCTGGTGGCACAGCAGAGAGAGCACTGGCCCTGGAGTCAGGAGGACCTGAGTTCAAATCTGGCCTCAGACACATAATACTTCCTAGCTGTGTAGGCAAGTCACTTAACCCCAATTGCCTCATTAAAAAAACAAAACAAAGCAAAACAAAAACCATACATTAACCTGTAGGTCTAAGCCACCTGAATTTCCACAAGAAAATAAGGTTCACTATATCTCAAAATAAAGATTAGCTCTAAGAATTCCCAAGAATGAGAACTGAGCCGATTTCTACAATATTATTAACTAGTATTTACAAACTAGAAGGCAATAAATACATCATGAATTACTATTCAAAATGTTAGTCAAGTTTATTCTTGTAAAATATTCATGAAAATAACTAATGTACAAATTGAGGACACTCTCAATGAAAACAAGTCAAACCAATAAGTGTTTGTAAAGCATCTAATATGTGCCCAAAACATGAGAAAAATGACAAAAGATGATACTTACATAACACTTTACAGTTTGAAAAAAACCTTTTATATACACCATCTCATTTGAGCCATGGAGCCCCCATGTGGCAGCCACTATAGGTATTGTGACTTCCATTTTACAGATCAGGAAACTGAGGCCTATATGGTTAAGTGAATGTCCAGGGTCACACAGAGGTAGAATTTGAATCCAGATCTACCTGACTCCAAATCCAGCACTTTTTACATTGAACTACTCAGACTTTCAGTGCAGAACAAGGAGAGCCCAAAACTAAGGATTTGTTGTCTTGAATATAACACTGAATCTCTTGCCTCTGTGCCTTTCCCCCTACCTAGAATGCTCTTCCTCTTCACCCTGGCCTTTTAGTTTGCCTGGTTTCCTTTAAGACTCATCTACCTACTTAGGAAGACTCCCTGTCACCCCAACTCCTAGTATCTTCCCTCCTGAGATTACCTCCCATCTATCTATCTGGTTTGTATCTAGTTATTTTCATGTTGTTTCCCCATCAGAATGTGATATTCTAGAGGGCAGGGAGTGTTTCTACCTTTCCGTATATCCCCAGTGCTCAGCATAGCATCTAGCACATAGTAGGTACTTAATAAATGCTTGTTGACTGACTAACTAGAGCTACCTCTTTTTATGACCAGAAGAAAGGCGTGAATAGGTGACAATGAAGTCAAGTTTTGAATAGAGTTGAAGAAGTTCCCAGCAAATGGTCTCAATCTCAGTAAAGTAGGAACTTACGTCATCTGTTATATGGGAAATATGAAAAATGGAATGAGGTTGAGGGCTTCAGGAAAGAGGACAGTGAATGAGATGCTGAATGAATAAGAGAATGTATAACAGAAAAAATGCTGAGCAGAAGTGAAGGCTCAGGTATTCTTCACCTGAAAAATGGAGGAAGATGAGGAAGTAATACAAAATTTTTTGTCTTTTGTATCTCCAGGTCTAATATAGTGTCTTGCACTTGGTAGGACTTAAGATATTTATTGAAGTGAAATCATCTGAATACAATTCAATCTAGCACACATTTATTAAATGCCTACTTGGTGAAGTTTCCAGAGACTTCACACATCTTAGCTCAGCCAAAGGGGTGACTGCTCTGCATTTGGGACAGAAAAGGCTGATTTTTTACCAAATTCAATCCAATCCAATAGTTCTACTGCTTGCTAGACTACAAGTTCAATGAGGACAGGGACTATGTTGTATCTAATCTTTGTATCTTGTACCTTCCCCAGTATCTAAATAGTGTTCTGAAAGCACAAAATAAGTATTTATAAATGCTTGTTGATTAATTGGAAACAATAGTTATTTAATAAATAATTGTGGAATTTGAAGGAGCTCTGCCGTACCAAGATAGAACTCTAAATGGAGTTTCCTGTATAACTATGATTAGTAGTGGGTGGATTCTAAAATACCCTCAGTACAATACTTCAAATGCATTACATACTGTGTTCTCGCAAGTATGTAACCTCCTTGGAAGATAGCCCTATTTCGTTTGCTTTATCTTTGCATCCCCAAAGCTTGAATAAATTTAAATGTTTCTTGAACTGAATGTATGCCATTGTTTCAGTGGTAAAATGTGTTCCAAATTTTAAACTACAGATATAAAAACTCTAGATCATAACCTTTCAAAATCTAGGGGCAGCTTGTATAATATGTTTTGTTCTACAGCACAAGGGTAGAGAGTCATATGAAATGGGATGGATGAAAAAAATTAAAAATTAAATATTATTAAACAGAGTTTCAGTATTCTTTGTTTTAAATTTTTTTTTTTTGCTTTTTGGTAAGGCAATCGGGGTTAAGTGACTTGCCCAGGGTCACACAGTTAGTAAGTGTCATGTGTCTGAGGTCACATTTGAACTCAGGTCTTCCTGACTCCAAGGCTGGAGCTCTATCTACTACGCCACCTAGCTGCCCCTGTTTAAATTTTAATGCCTGTTTCCGTTGCTTAAATTATTTATCAGGCCTCCAAAGATCATTAAATTGAAAAGTTGATGAATATACAGTAGTGTCAAATGTCTAACCACCGCCTGCCTGGTGGATCAGAAGCAAAATGCACAGACCAACGACCTATTGACTGATTCGATTCATGCATTAGGAAATTTATAGGCATATTATATAAACTAATCTGAAATAATTTACCTACTTAGCTATATTTGTTTTCTCAAATTATCTTATTGATTTGAGAACATATCTTCCAATGCAAACTAGGTGAATGCAGAATAGCAAAGGAAGCACACCCTAAACGCCAAATCATGATTATACAATTTCACTGATAGGTATTGAGAAAAAGATGCTAAATGTACTTGAGTCAAAAATTGTACCAACTACAGATAATTTTGCCTTGTCTACCCCAACAGTAACAGCTCCCAGAAGGTAATAGTTGTATCATTTATATTTTAAAATTACATGCAGCCTAATTTTTACCAGCACCCTATGAAGTGGGTAGTTCAAAAATTATGATCTCCATTTTATAGATAAGGAAACTGAGACTCCAAGAATATTTGAACTTGAATATTTTATGTTCAACAAGCTAGACTCAGCAAAGGTCATAGGGTTAGTAAGGGACTGAGTAAAGATCCAAAGCCAGAATTCTTTTTTATCCAAATCCAGGTCTTTCCACTACATCAAACTTCTTTTCATAGTAACAAAAGTATTGAAACCATTTCTTGGATACATTTTTTAAAAATTATTTCAAAATTTCATTATGTTTTATTATAATCATTCTAGAAACAAAAAAAAGAATCTTGTGATATGGAGCTTTATACAAATTATGTTCATTTCCTTAAGTAAGGAAAACAATCTCCAACTAATACGAGTCTTCCAGCCTAAGCAAAGAAGTAAAGGACTGAATTATTCATTAATAGTTATTAAATCAGTATTAGTGAGATATTTATGTTCTCTCTTCTGATAGGTCAAAAGGAGAAATTTGTCCATTTTTTGCAGAAAGAAGCTATACTACATAAAGATTTTAAACTAAGTCTAGCTTTGAAGAAGGTATTAGGGAAGACTGAAAGAATTCTGACTACAATTACCTTGTTCTTTCCATTGTACTCTACTAGATATATCAGGAAATACTTTAAAAATGAAAATATTGGCTAAGTGTATTTGCATTCTTTAAAAATATTGGTTGTCAAGTTAATGACTTGCTTGCCATAACAGTGATGGAGTCAAGTTTTTATGCAAAAAACTTCTCAAATAAGATTTAACTTGGAAACTAAAAGAGTTGAAAGAAGAGAAGTTTTGTTAGAATAATATAGCAACTCTTTCCTTAGAGAAAAATTTAGAGAGAACACAAGACATAACTAATTACATGTGAGTTTTTATCTTAATCTAATCTTCAAATATTTTGAAATTAAAATATTCTTGGGGCTTAGCTTCTGCTTACAACTTATGGTCTCAGAGGGTTGGCTGGGGGGGTTCCCAGAAGTTAAGTGACTTGCCTAGGTCTAGTATGTGTCAGAGGAAGAGCTTGAAAACCTGTCAAGCTTCCCAGCTCGAGACCAGACCCACTCTCTACCCACTAACCTTGGCTGGCTCTTGGAAAAATACATATGCTAAGTACAATTTACGATATGACTCTCCCTTGTCACCCCTTTAAAGAAAAAAGGGGGAGGTTTTTAGCTAACCCTATTTCACAACTGAGACAAATTTCCACTACTTATTATTATATGTGATTATTTTAAAATACAGTAAAAATGAATGAACATAAATTGTTTGCTTACAAAGAAACCTGGTCCAGAGGGCTACAAGGTAGGTGGGGGAGGCAGGAAGATATAGGCTAGGAAGGAAGGAAAGATGGAAGGAAGGAAGAAAAACATCGTTTTTCTCTGGCAGATATCTCTCTTTCAATAGGGCACCAGGTTTCAGGTGAAAAAAAAATGTTAGGGGCCAAACATTTTTTTTCCATTTTTCCAGGTTTGGAAATAGATATCAGAACTCCTTTCAGCCAATCATCTGGACAAAGCAGGGGACATAGGTTGCTCTTTCATTACTAAGTTTCCCTCGGGACATCCCTAGAGGATGGTAAGAAGTTATGACTGCCCAAGCTCCCTAGGTTCGGGGTCCTGGCAGGAAGTGGGAGATGGAGACTCCAGGTAAGCTGGGGGAATGGGAGGAGAGGGACGGGGTCTTGGCTGCTCACCGCTTTGCTTCAGTCCGTTGGTAACACCAGTCTTGGTCACTGGCCTGCTGCTCTCCTGAGACTGCGTTTGGGTGCTGCTGGAACACCCCATTGCTGTGACGATTGCTGTCAATGCCGGCTTCTGGGACTCTGGGGAAGGAGCAGAAGTCGCCTGGGAGATCCCACCTCCAGCCCTTCTCCTGGGCACGTGACCCACCCCCTACCAAGCTCCAGCTGGGACTACAAGAGTCCTTGAGACAATGTCCAGCGCGGTGGCTGCGGCGGATGCAGCCCTGGACAGTAAGGTACAGACACCTGCTGAGAAGGCGCTCTACTCTGACTGCAGGCTGCATGGGCTGGGACGAGAGAGGCGGAGCGTTGTCATGTATCAGTAGCATTGCGCATATTTCTCCTCCACTCTCTATTGGCCGGAGCAAGCGAACTGATGGGCGGGAGAGGTGGACCACACGGCAGGGACACACAGAAGAGGCAGGCAGAGGGGCAAGAGAGTGAAAGAGCTGAACTTGCTTCTAGATTAGGCTGAAAAGGAAAGAAGAGTAAAGGGAGAAAAAGGACACGCAGGGGCACGGGGTAGCAAGAGAGCGAAGGAAAGCAAGGATTAGGAATGAAGGCTGGAAAGACAAAATGAAGTAGGAACCATGGAAGACAGCGGTGATGCCATGTGGAAAGGGCTTAGCAAACACAAGTTTAAATCTCTCTCCGATGATCACTACCTGTGTGAGTGATCACGGGCAAGTCATTTAAACATTTCTGGACTTCATCTTCATTTGTGAAATGATGAAGTCTGACGAGATGATATCTAAGATCCTTTCAATCTATAGATCTATGGCCTATGACTCTAATAGTTCACAAAACTCTTTATATTTTCCTGTTGGAAAAAGGTTATTATCATTCAAGAGTATTAAGTATTATTAGTATAGCCCAGGCATTGGGCTAGGTGCTGGGAATACAAAGAAAGAACTGTCCCTTTGCTTAAGGTGTTTACATTCTTTATCAGGATATACAGCACACATAATACTATATACACACATATGCATATATAATATAATGTAGTATAATACAAAGTAATATGACATAACATAATATATATGTAATATATACATACCAAATAAATACAACATAATTTTACTGGGAAGAAGCACTAGCAGCTGAAGGGACACTAATGAGGAAACTGAGACCTAGAGAGAGCCATCACACATCTAATAAGTGAAGGTGATCAAACCCAACCAGGACTCCAGACAGTCAAGTCCACTGGCGTTGGCAACATAGAAGACTTGCAACGAGTAAAGACAGGGATGCTTGAGAGGTAAGGGAAATTACAAGAAAGCAGGTAGCCAAAGTTGCCTGAAACACAATCTAGCTATCAGAGGAGAGATGGATGTTAGCAAATGGATAAAAAGAGCAAATGAGGTTTGGACAGTTCAGAGATCATCATGAAGGGTAAGGGTGACAGAAGTCGAAAAGATCAATGCATAATTCAGACCGATTCATGACCATTTTTATGTAACTAATATGCAGGTTCTGATTGCAAAGAGAGTCTTCATAGACACTGATTTCAAGTATCTGTAATTTTCCAAACAAATTGAAAGTTAATGTAGTTTGGCTAGTTTAATGCTATGGAGAGGATGAAGACTGGGTGATTAGAAAGGTAAGCAAGAGAGGAGAGTCTTTTTTGAGGTAGGAATATTTATGCTTTCAAAATAAGCAGCTTACATTTTAAATATATTATAAGAATGCCAGTTCATTATTGTTTGTATTCTAAAATCACTTCATGAGTAAATTAACGATTGTAAATTAAGGATAAGCAAATTAAACTTGCTTTACATTTTTCTTTTTCATTATGAACTTAAAAGTGAATATTTCAATATACAAAAAATGGAAAAGAAAAACCATGAAACTATGGTTTTTGTTACATAGTTTTGTAAAAGGCACAGGTCCTGATTAATGTGAACAATGAATTCTATGAAGTGGTCACATATATTCCAATTCTCACTATTTTAAGTTATAATTATATAAAATATGGTGACTCGTTCCAACGCAATGGAAATATGCAGTACAGTTTCAGATAATGAAACCACAGGATTCATTATTTCCATTAATCAGAACCTAGTATATTAAACTCAATAGGACAGTAACAAACTTCTCAGGTTATCTTTGTCCCCTTCTGAACTTCCTTCTGCTCTCATCTCTGTACTTTAAAAATGTTTCATTGATGCTGTCTTCTTCTTCTTCTTCTTCTTCTTCTTCTTCTTCTTCTTCTTCTTCTTCTTCTTCTTCTTCTTCTTCTTCTTCTTCTTCTTCTTCTTCTTCTTCTTCATCGCTATCACTTCCCACCAATTCTGTCCCCTATTCCAAAACAAAAGTCCTCTTTTGTACAGACTCTGACTATGTTTATGGGGGCCATCTCTAGTGGTCTTCATCTATATCTTGCCACTGGGCCCAGATGGCTGGGGAGGAGAAAGAGAGCCGGGTGACCTTGCACAGCCCTCCCTCACTTAAATCCAATTCACTTGCAAGTCATGGCATCATCTTCCTAATGTCATGGTCCTCTTCGAGAACGAAGGACAAATAACAACAACAATGACTGTGTCTGTAAATTTACACTTCATTCTACACCTCCAGTCTATTACCTCTCTTTGCCAAGAGCATGATTCATCTTCAGTCTTCTGGAGTTGTGTTTGGCCACAACCAACACCAATTGCTGATCAACTTTTACCCAATGGGTGAGCAAGCCAATCTTGGAAATGGCAATACCTTGCAGACCACCGGCACTGCTTCTAGACAAACCAGGAAAGCTATCACCCAGGGGAATGCTACAGAGGAATAAACCTTGTATAGAGTCAACTAGTTACTAAGTACCTACTAGTGCTAGACCCTATGCTAAATACTTAGGAATACAGTCATCCCTTCCATATGGTGGGGGTTAGGGGCACAGTACCACCTTGATTTGGAAAATCTTCATAAAAAGTTTTGGTCCTTTCTCCTTTCCTACCAGAGAAGAAGTACGATTTTTTCTTTTTCCTTTATGGGGTGCTTACAGTACCTTATTATAAAATTTGGATTGATATTATACAATAATATACATATATTTTATGCATTTCTGAGTTTCTAAACTTTTTCTGTGTCATCTACTGGCTTTTGCATGTTGTCTGCGGCTTCCTCAAAACTCCCCCTGAATTCCCATTTAATTTCTTACGATGACCTGTGATATATCGAAACCACAATGTGAAAGGGATAACTGTACAAAGAAAGGCAAAAAACAATCCTCACTTTTAAGGAGCTCAGTCTAACGAGGGATTCAAGCTGTCAAATGCCTTTCAAACAGTGGTCACAACCACTGAAGACCCAGAAAAGAAAGTTCTCACCACCAAAGACTTTTTGTATTTACATCACCTAGATTTCCCTCTATAACCCTCTACTACCTCCTCAAAAAGAATTGTATCTTATTTTTTAAAAATAAAGAAGAAAAAAAACATTAAAACTGATCAGCACATGGATAAAACCTGAAGTTATATATAATGTTTCATATCCATGAACACCCATCCTCTGAAAAGGAGGAGGGGAAGATGACTTCTTATATCTTTGCTTTGAGGACAAGTTTGATCTTTAGAATTGCTCAACATTCAGTTCTGATACTTTTGTGGTGGTTGTTCTCTCCATTTACATTGTTATAGTCTGAATATTGTTCTCCTGACCCTGCTTACTTCACTTTGTATCAGTTCATGTAAATTTTTCCATGTTTCCAAGTTTTTCATCATGCTATTCCTTAGAGCACAATAATATTCCATTATGTTCACATACCACAATGTGTTTGGCCATTCCACAGTCGGTGATCATTTACTTTGTTTCCAGATCTTTGCTACCACAAAAAATGCTGAGAATGTTGGTAATTACTCCCTGAATGCCATTTGGGGTGACTGATTTCCCACATTACACTTAAGAACCAAAAAACCCTGAAATTTTAGACCTGGAATACATTTTAGAGTTCATCCAATAGAATTCCCTCATTTTATAGATGAGGAAATTGAGGTCCTGCAAAGTTGCATGATTTGCCCAAGTTCTTAATCCTACATAGTGGCCAAATGAAAATCAGAACCTCCCTGACTCCCAGTTCAAAGCTACACAGATAAAATGCTAAGGTGTATATTTATACAAATAAAATTTTATATTTTGGACACCAGCCTTAACTTTTTGTGTTCTTTCCTACTCTTTTAGCATCAATATGCCTTTCTCCAAGCTCAGAATCATAGTTTCTCCAATAAAGGTAGAAAGCAATCTAATAAACTCACTCATTCACGGTTAACTTAAGAGACCTAATCTGTTAGAAGTACCAATGGCTAATAACTACCATTCATATAGTGAGGTTGCTTTCCTCACCCTATGAAAGCATGATTCTCTTCATTTTAGAGATGAGAAAATGGAAGCTTTGAGACCTTTAATGACTTATTTATAATCACATAACAAAGCTATTAAAGATCAGATCTAGGATTCTAACTAAGATCACCTGACTCCAAGTCCAGAACTCTTTCTACTTCATAATTCTGGAAGGATTGCTTATGGGAGAGTTTCCTCATTAGTTGGTGAAATTCTTTTTGTTTAGGCTGTGATGGTAGTAATAAAAGAAGCACTGTATTTTCCCTTTCTTGATTTGAGAAATGTCATTTTAGAACAAGCCTCCATTTCAGTGTAAATGGCACTCTGCTTTTTAATGCCTATGTTTTACCTTCCTTTGCTAGATCTTGGTCAAGGTCAACTAAAAGACAGAGTCCACCTGTATCTGACCCTTGAGGCTAACAATAGACAAGCAGATTAGGAAAAAAAATCTTATTGCCCTGAAACACAGCAAATTACTCCCAAGGCCAGGGGCTGACCAGCTATGAACCTAGCTGAGTGTGTTTTTTGTATACTATAAGTAAGTATCTGTGGGTACCGTAACTTTGTTCTAATTCTTATTATCTCATGGGGTCACTTGAGTTCTGTTTGCTCTATTTTGTTTTCCAGAGTTCCCTACTTGGTTAAGTTGTTCAACCAAACAAAGAAGTTAGGCAGGATGTTGATAACTATTGTGTTTTTAGTTGTTTTATTTGTATCACGTGTAACTTTGGCGTGCAACAAATAGTTGCAAAATT